GTGGCCAGAATTTTGACCACTGGACGATACAGCATTGGTCGAAACAGCTGAATTGTTCGAGCCTTGGATTCCAGCTCATCAAAATATTCCAAGTAGCCGCAGTGCACTCGCAAATACGTAGAATCACTGACTGTGCTGGAAAATTTCATTGTTTTTGCAGAAGTATGCTTATCTAACGGATGATGTAACAACAAATGCTGTTGATCGACCGGATCGTCGGCCACCACATTCAGCTACGATTGGTAAAAGCAGCGAACTGGCGTCTTCAGTAAGGGGATATTTTAAAAATATTATAGCGAATCGTGAAGGAAAAGCTTGCATAGTATTGTAGTTCTCAGAGTGAGGCATTCTGGGCATGATTGTCTCTTTAGTAAATAAAAAAGCCGAGATATTGGACAAAGATACTGTATTTATCAGTGAAGTGCCCCGTATCTACTATTTAGTGCCTCGTATCTGCTATAGCAAGAAACTCCTGGTGTTCCTTTGCTGCTTTTTTTCCAATTTTTCAATTCGTTATTTCAGGGCGGAGAAGTTGCATTTGTTGGCCGATTGATCGAAGATAGCTTTGTTTTACAAAATGCGGTGAGGTAAGTTTCGAAATTTTCATCCATTGATTATCGCTTTTTTTGAATAAAAATGGCATAAATTTGTACTAAAAAAAATGGTGCATTAAAATAAGGCTTTTTTTTTGCATTACAGACTCTATACAACGATGGTGGGTAAAAAGTCAAGCTTAACTGAACTGCGAAAAAAACTGAGACGTTGTGTGAATGTTCGATTAACTGTTACAACACTCTGTCAGGGCAGGACACATCGTTGGGTACTGGCATGGACTTTCGAATCACGAATTAAATTGGACAAGGTACGTTTTTTGGGCGGTAATTTTCCAGAATGTACGTGTAATTCCGAAATTTCGAAGTTTTTTTTTTCGGAAATTTTTGTTTTGCTGTTTTGATTAACGTTTCATCTTCGTGTTTCTTCTCATATTGATGCGATTGGCAATTTGTCTGTTGCTTTACGTAAAAGTTTTACGTGAAAGTAAGC